GAGAACAACAGTGAGTTTTCTGTTTCTGGCTTAAGATGCCTTCTGCTACGTTCATTCATTTGTCGAACTTTGCACTACAGGTTTCTACTAATCTACGTTCTTTTAGTATTCTGTACCCAGTCATTTCCTTTGGCATACCCTATCCTAGTTCCTTCATAGCATCTCATTTGCAATTTATCCCTGATCTGTTCTGGTATGCCAGTATATTCTTTATGTCCAAATACTTAAATAACTTTGGGTTTTCTGTTGAAGAATATTTTATAAGGGATTCAATTTTTCTTATGACACATTCTGTTTCAAGTATAAGCAAAACATCTAAGACCACCTGCCCACCATTCTTTTCCAATTTTGCTCTCATTAAACAATGGCCTTTTAACTGCTCTAGTGTTGTTTGGTTAAAATGTTAATATATACTCTTCTCTTTTGGGATGTAAGAATTAATATGTGCAACACTGATTTCATTGTTAACTAAGTACTTTTCAGATTGCATGTTGCAAAATTAGCGACCGTTATATAGTAATTATTAATTGATTGAAAAGGCCACATTAAAGGTAATTTTTTTTAAAAAATCTAATTTTTCTAATAAGTACATATGATATAAAAACAAAAAACTATAAATATCTGTTTAAATTAAACAATTTTTAATGATATTGGTATTTCCCAATCCCTCACCACTTCAAATTTCAGATCAAGGAAAATTTATTAATTATGATGAAGACAAATGATAAAAAAATAAATTTTTTTAATGAAAAATTTTAAAACGATGGAGACAAATTGTCTGATAAAAATATAAAGTATCAAATGAAGACAAATGATAAATTCCTTAATTAAAATGTGTGAAAGGACGAGGACAACTTTTTCTAATTAAGAGTTTAATGAGGACACATGATAAATTTCTAATAAAAAATGTATAGAAGTGGAAGAATGATGAAAGTTGAAAAGTGCGTTAGGAATCGAATGAAGACAATTTATATAAAATAAATAAAACTTTCTAATAAAAATAATGAGGACAAATTCTATATTAAAATACATTACAGATCGAATGAAGGTAAATCAAATTTTTTAATAAAAAATATATGAAAATTGGTAAATGATAAAAAGGCATTAAAAATCAAATGAAGCCGGGACGGCTATTAAAAATAAGAGAATTAGATTTTTGAACAAATTTTAGCTAAATTATTTAAAACCATTTTCTTGAAAATAACTTTTTTAGGTTTAAGGTAGGGTGATTACTACCTGCACTAAAAGTACTGCTTTAACCTTTTTTTTTTCTAACATCATTAAGAATATTGTTTGGTAGAAAACTTTCGTTACAACCAGATACAAATTCTAACATTCAATTCTTAATTTTAGGGTATTATAAAAGCTTTGAAATGTCATTATACAAAACACCCCTATTCTAAACATTCAGTTTTAAAATTAGATTGAGTAGGTGATTTCTTTTTCCGTCTTTAGTCTCGTATCCAAACGATGACCAGCTTTAAACCCTTCCTGCACGCTACCTTTTAAAGTCGGAGTTTTGATAATAATAATAAAAAAAAGGTAGGCAGTTTAATTAGGCCTAGAGGAGTACGCAAGTAAAATTTTGTGAAGATAGCACTTATCTTTTTAATTCTATGGATGTGCCCAAAGTGGCACACTGATTCAATAGAGCTTTGAAATGGTTATCTCGCCATATTTGCGAGATACCGCCAAGCTGGCATGGCTCTGGAGACTAATTTTTGTCTCCAAATTTGGCGGCAAATCGCCAAATGTGGCGACATTTTTGTCCAATCCCTGTATAACTGTAATTGGTCTGATCCCTATGTAATTGTAACTGTATCCGGCTCTATATGCAATTGCTAGTGTATATGACTTCCAGCAATTACGAAAAATGGAATGTACTTGAAATTTTTAGTCTGGGGAAAGCTATATAAGACCGGAGAGAACATTATTTCTCAGTTTAATTCAGAATTTAGTCTGGAGAATTGAGAGATCAGGGTGCGAACTTCGTTCTTTAGATGCATTGCATTGTGTTTAACGTTCTTAGTAATATGCAGTGGTAGCTATTGATTGTGCTCTATCATATGGAAAAGAGCTGTACGAGTACTTTTGCAGAAAGTCCAGAATTGTAAGAAGTTTCTTTTGAAAAAATTAATTTTATCAAGCTATCATCGGTTTTCTGTGCATTCAATCCATTACGAACCCGTACGCACCCAAGAGTATTATTTATTCTTCATACTTGTTTGTTACAAAATAAATATCAAATATTCCGTGCTGTCAAATAATTTATTTAAAAAGTGTTTGTCAGTACCTCATATAATAAATCGGACACTCGAAAGTTTTGCTAAAACGATTTTCCTTCTCATAATTTTTGTTTTAAATGAAAATACATCATAAGAATTAGTGCTTACATTTGGATATTATTGCTTGTTTAAAAAAATATATTAACACTTTCATTTATAATGTAAATATGACAAGACGGTATCCTTTTAACGACAAATTCTGTTAGAATTAAACATTTTTTAAGTTCATTTTAAAAATAGTAAAATTGTTCAAAATTTCCAAAATATTCTTGGTGTGTTCTTGTAATTCTTGGTGTGCGCTTAACTATTTTTGATGTTATTAAAAAGACTGAAACTGCGTGGAATTGTTCAAATTGCCCAGAAGTCTCGAAGGAAGATAACATGAAGGAATCGAGATTTATCCTACGAAAAATCAAACAAAATCCAAAAATTAGAGCTGTAAATCTTGTAGGGGATTTAAAAGAATAGTTTTCATTAAAAGGTAATCCTCAAAATCTGTTAGAAGAGTCATTAGAGAAATTGGATACAATGAGCGATCAGCAAGAAGAAAATTATTCATCAACAAGAAAAATGCCCCTAGAGTTCTCAGATTTCACAGTAAGAAAACATTTATTAGTATATTGGAACTGCGTTATTGTTGCAGACGATTAAAAACTGATATATTTATGACCGATTGTTGTGGGGCGAAACCTGATTGAAGACTTCAATGGGAAAAATCTATTGCTTATTGTTAAGCAGGATTTAAATTTCATAGGATTAAGGGTTTCAATGACATTTTGAAACTGCAGAGAATGGAAAGGTTCCAATATGCCAGACAGTGTTGAAGTGGGCTCTACAATTCAAGTCTCGTGCATCCATTTTCAAAAAGAAGCCTCTTGGTCGCCTTCAAAACTGAGCGAACATAGGTAAATGTACACAGAATCTCAGTCTTTTCAGAGTAGTCATTATCGTTCTGCTTTTCGACATTATCCTGCCTTGGACTTGATCCCTAGAACAATTTGACGCATCTTACATTAGGATGTAAATTTTCATCCCTTTAAAATTCAAATGGTACAACAACTCTTCCCCGTGATTTGAATCAGAAAAGTGAATTTTCAAGAAATTGTTGCAAATAATTGAGAAAACGCAGCAATTGCTGAATCACATGATAATGACCGAAGAAGCTCATTTTCATCTAAATGGATATGTCAGCAATCCGAATTTCAGATATTGGGAGTATAGAATCCACGCAGGTTGCATTAGAAGCTACTGCATAGAGAAAAATTTACAGTATTGTGTGATGTTAGTGCATTTGGAATGACTGGGGCTTGCGCCTTAAAAAGTGCTGATAGTCAGTTTGTGTTCTGAATTGATGCCGTCAGTTATTAGAGTACGCTACAAGAAATCTGTATTCGGAATAGTTCTAATTTCTGTGCGGGGAATGCAATTATGGAGACCTAAAAATCTGAAGACGTAAGTCTAATGATTACAGCTTTGATATGGTGAATGAACCATATGAATATACGGCTTACACATAGCTCATATTACCTAATATAAAGTTTCCACAAGGTTGAACGTTGTATATTAGTCGTGTAAATAAATATGTATGTGTGTATCAAGATCAGTCATCATTTATATGAACGCCATCAACTTCTCGAAATAAGGGATTAACATATTCCATTCGAATCGAAGCATTAACATCGTCTTTAGGACAATCTGTTATGGTCACATCAGATCGATATGTGCTTCTGCTGGTTTAATTTCAACAGGATGGTGTTATCAGCCGCACAGAACGAAATTCAACGGCTGTCATTCTGCAAATATTTACACAACTTGTCATCTCTCGAACGCTGAATCAAAGAACTTCAAAGGGAGCTGTACTGCCGATTTTTTTGTTAAATGGTCTCCGCACTTGCCTGTTTTCTCAACAACCAATTTTTTTTCCTATGGCGCTATCTGAAGAATAAGTCTATGCCTCACACTATACAGGATATGAAAGGACTTTTATATAGTTCCAGTGAGGTTGCTTAAGAAAGTCATGGATAACGTCAGCCCATTTACAGAGGTGCGCCTTACCTCCAGTGGAATTGATCTAAGGTTATCTTCAAAAAGGGACGTGAAAACGAAATGCTTTTCCATGGCTTTTACATTCGTTTACCCATTAAATGTTTAGTTTTCAATTAAAATTGTACTTTCAAGTTATTAATCGTTTACTAATTGTTTCTGCCTCCTGTTTATTTTCCCTTTGTTATTTTCTTTAGTAAGTAGCCTTTCTTTTTTCATATTTGGGGGTAATTCTGAATTTTAATATTTTATTTAAAAAGTTCTAAGAATTGAATAAAAGTTCCAAATTAATACATTTAATTTCAAAGCATTTCATCATCAGTCTTATACCTTAATTTGTATCCAGAATCATATAACTCTGTAACTAACAAATGGGGAAAATGCAAAATTGAGACATGTTTTGAAATTTTAATTTACTATCTTTTTATGCAGATGATGCTCCAACATATTTTCGTATTATAATTTCGATATTGGTATGAAATTTATAAGATGGATTTATTAAAAAACTTTTTTAACCGCAAATTTTAAAAAAAAAAGTCGTACCTTTAAAGTTTTATATATATATAAAATAAATAAAAAAAAAAATGCTTGGTTTTCCCCTTTAAAATAAATTTATTATCTTTTAAAGTGTATTAAGAAAGGATTGTATAATTCATTATTTGTAGCTTAAAATAGAATATTGGCAATGCATTTTTAACCTTGCTACACACTTCAATTATGACATCAGAATCTATCTGTATTTATATATTAGGTAAGCTTTTATTTTACAAATACCTTTTTCTATTAAAATTCTTAGCCTGTTTGGGCAAGAGTTAGCTGAAAGGATTATATCGAGGACCAGGTGTTAACCTGAAAGGATTTCCTTGCTTGTCTTGGGTCATGACAAGTTTTGTTGTGTGAGGTCTGTTGACTATCTTATACGGTGGAAATCCGTAATTACTCAGTAATAAAACGGGTTGTTTTTTCTCCAGAATGTATGGATTTACAGAGTCTTCTTTTATCTTGGTTACTGGTGGAAGTACTTGGACTGTCTTCCGTAGAGAATTTCTGGGTGGCAAGGCGATTACTTTGGTTCCATCAGTACAAGGCATAGGCCAAGGTTTTATAGCTGTCTTGGCATAACATTCCTCTTCCCTAAAATTAAATGTTATCGTTAATATAGATAAACTCTGTTTTATTTTTTTTGATTGATTCACAGATTATTTTAAAATTTCCCATGTCGAAAGACGTCACGAATTGTTGAATAATCAAAGCTAGTACTTTTACATATATAGTGTTAAGTAAATTAATAGTATTCAATTCGATTTCTTGTTTATAATGTTTGAAATTAAAGTTTATTATCCTTGCACTAGATGTGAAATCAGAACATGTCTTTCTCATAAACTGTAGGCTGCAGAAGTACAATTCTTCGAATATTTTTGATCAACTCTGAACGGGAACATGGTTATAAAATATTTACAGGACACCCTTTTGCATATATGTATATGCTTTTCGGTAATTTCGTTTGAGACAAGTTATAATACACTGATTTTAATTTAAATTCATCAAATGAAGAATGGAATAAATTTGCTGACTGAAAATTGCTGATATTTAAGTAACTTCATAAAACAAATAGAAATAAGAACTGAGATTTATGCTTAAAAGCAACCGCAGATATAATATAAAGGATGACGTAATTTGATTTTTGTTACCGTGAATAAATGTGCTTGAGAAATTTGAATTTTAGGCGTCGCACTTGTGGCATTATATTTTAGTTTTACAAGCAAATTTGATTTTAATTTACATCTTTCATCTTGCCTCATTTCATCATGGCTGCCGCTCATTCCAAAGAATTATGCAGGTTTGAGTGGCAACCAGTTTAGTATGAGGTTAGAGGAGCAACATGTTACCGCATGCGTGTTTAGATCAACATTAGCTGATGTACATCTTGCTTAGTTATTTGTGAAAGCCGCTGCTCGCGAAGGATTAAGAATTTGACATTTAGCCTAACTGTTGAGTTAATATTTTGAGTAGCTGTTAGCCGTCGATTTGTCATTTGTAGTCTCTCTTGGAAATTATTAGGTATTCTAATTACAATGACTTTTAAATTTTAACTCTTCTTCATAGCCAGGGTCCAGGCTACTGGTAACCTTGTTTTATAATATTTTTATTTTAACCCTTAAAAAAAAGTAAAATATATTTAAGTTAGATAGATACCTGTGCTTGTTTGTTTTTGGAAAGTATTAAGTTAATAGTGATAATTCAAAAGCTTTTGCCTAACATTCGAAAGTTTTTAGCTAACATTTGAAGGATAGGATTTGAACTTGAGTAGTTAAGAAATAAAGAAAGTCCTATATAAATGCTGCACTATTTATATTTCTTTTATAGTTCATTCAGTGCACGCTGTCTGGATAACATTTTGGATAGTCAGAAGCTGTGACATTTGGCTTGAATTGTAAATAAGATCGTATATACATATGTGTGCGTGTGTGTGTGTGTATGTGTGTATACGTGTATATTAAAGGTGTGCATTCTGTGATGGGCATTTCATATGTTGGAATTAATAACTTCTAGTCATACTTAATTTTTGAACCTTCGGGAAAATTTCTTTTTCAGGAAGGGGGTCATATCAAGTTGGAATTACGGTTCTTTCAATTAAAAAATAATGAGTACAGAAGGTAGTCCAAACTGTTACTTTTTGAGAGTGTTTGAGGTTATACCATGCGTCTTTGTTGTATCATCTCTCCGTAAGGCACTCACTTCGGAAACCCCATCAATGTTTACCTTGTTTCACGGTAAAGGTGCTAGCACCAGGGTACCTGGGCCAAAGGCCCTACCTCTTATCGAACAATTTGAGTATTTATTAATTTTGCAAGCCATAAAGTGAAAAGTATAATGTAAACAATGATAAAAATTTTGAAGTTGGGAGTGCTACTAGAAATTTAGAAGTGTGCGTGAAACCAGTCGAGAGGTGAAAATGCCAAAGCATCTGGGAAATTGTTGGAGCTGGTGACTTGAAATGCTGTAAGAGAGTTTCTTAATATATGAGAGATAAGGCAGTACAGAAGCATTCGGTGAGATACAAATTGGGAATTAAGTTAATTAAGTAAATACTGTAGATAAAGACGCTGGTAATATAACTGTACTTTTAGGATGGGAAATAAATTTACTGAAATAAGTGGGGTGAGAATCATAAGCTATGGCGATATACAAGAGTGAAAATCAGTAACCAGCCGAGAATATAATAGGTTATTTGTCAAGATACATACATAATAATGCTAACAAGATATAGAATATTTTTTTGGCTTATATATAAGAAACATTATACGCTGGCATTACTTTGCACAAATATTTCTTCAAATAAGTTAAATAATAGGAAATGTTTGTCGAATGGGTTTTCCGTTGATTGAATCTCTGGTATTTCGGCAGAAATTTTCATAATTATATTACTGAGAGTCCTTTGAACAGACTACTTATTTCTTTAAAAAGTGTGAAAACTTCAGCCAGAGAACTCAGTTTGAAGTTGCTATTATTTTTGTTTACATCAGAATTACTTGGTTTTGATGAATGTCCATTAATCTTGCTGCCGTTTTGGGTAATATTTGCATAAGATATGCCACTAGTGAACTGAGAATATTTAGTTTCTATGGACTTCGTAATTGCATTTTTGTCATTATTCGAGTGAAGATTAGCATTGTTTTTGTTAGGTTTTAGGGAACTTGGAACAACCTCTGAAATTGGCGGTAAGTCCTTCTTCCAAACAGATGCAGCACTTTACTACATCAAGTCTCTTAGCTAAGCATTCAGAAGTCTTATGATCGCCAGCGCACTTGACGCAACGCGCTCTGAGTTTGCCAAGTATCCGAATTGTGATTGAAGTGCTGGCAGTTATAACACTGCACAACACTTCCATTCACTTTATATTCGACAAATTCTACACAGAAAAGTAATAAGTATTTGATTCTATAAATTTTTTCTACCCTTGGAACATTTCCTAGTTGGATTTGGAATAGTGGCATGGGCACTTTAGTCTTTAGCCTGTGCATTTGGGGTATTTTCCTCAATTTAGATCCTAAATTAAATAGTTCATCGTGAATGTCATTAATGGGACAACCTATCGGAAGACCTCTTACTTTACTGGTCGTTCATAATTCTTTGTAATGAGGTAGTGATCGACTTTTAGTTGGTCTAAATAATTAGTGATACCTCTGTGATCATCTTCAGTTTTAGGGTTCTCCGCAAACCTTACCTGGGAAGTTTAATTCAGTTTCCTGTCTGATTTTTTTCAGAAATTCTGAGTACTTGATATCGGGCTTAATTTTTGGAGCGAGAACATCAATAATTCCTGTTTCCATAACATTTTCATTATTATCTGTAACATCTTTGGAAGTTACAGTATTTACATCAGTATCAGAAATTGGTGGATTTTTCATTCGTAATCATAATACAATCATCATCCATAACCTTAGTATCAATAGAATTAGCATTATTAATGGGTTTTCCATGGGTCGGAGATATATTATTAGCATGCAAAATACTATTATCAATTTTAACATAATCAGATTGTACTTCACCAAATGCTTTGCACTTATCTTCAAATAATGTGAGTAATCCTTCGCAGATCGCCCTTTTCCTTTTGTAGTGGTTCCATGCCAGCAGGCATTTAAGTCCGGTTTGAAAACAGCGAACACACCATCCAGGGTTTGATTTTTAGTACGGATTATGGTCACATAATTCAGAAGTTTCAAATATTCCTTATTATTAATCCTATCTTTTAGGAGTATTTCGTTCCAGTCCTTATCTATTTTTTCGTTCGCGAATTTCACGAGTTCGTTTGGCAGTCCCGCCACGAGGTGACGAGCTCTAGCATCATCCGAGGTTAATGGGGGAAATTCCTTTCCCGCCATTTGAAATAATCCAAGGAAAGCACTTATAAACTCATCACAATTCAAGAAAACACCATCAAAAGCCGAATCCTAAACGAACCTCAATGTTTACCGTTCATTTCGAATAGATATTTCAGATATTAAAATTAAAATAATTTTCTCTCTTATAGTCTTCTTTAAATACATTTTTCTTTTGTTAACAAAAAAAAAAAAAAAAAAAAAAAAAGCGTAATATAAATTTATACGGCAATATGACAATGACTTGTTTATGTAATCTTGTGAAAAAAGCCCAAAATTTGAAACTTAGAAAAAAATAATGAAAGATAAATGTACGCATTTACGCATTTTAAATTAATCAAAACAAAGTCACCGTCTTATCTAAATGTTTCACTTGCATTATTTTTTCTATTCTGTTAACCCAATAAGCATTTTAAGTAATATAAAATTAGAATTTAATTTTGACTCATTTTAAAATTCAGTTTGTTTCGGGTGTTTTTTTTTTTTTTTTTTTTTTTTTTTTTTGAGATATTCTTCTAAGCGGGGCCTATTTTTCATTTATATTATTCGTTATTTTTAATAATCTTACATTACTTCTATTAAAAGCAATCATAGCTTCATTTATGGCATTATCTGCTATTTATTTGAATAAGAAGGAACATTGAGACAATGCTTGAACAGTAAGATCAAAGCAATCTGAGTTTCATATCACCTGAGTTTCTAAAATGTTTTTGAAGTAAACTTCATAATGATAGCTTTGCAAATATGCATTTTATAGCATCAATAAAAGACACAAAAGCAGTATTATAATGCTTGAAATTAACAACAGTTTAATTATTCATAGCAGTGTGGAAGTCTGTTTGGCAAACATAGTGATACGATTATTACAAGATTTTCCCTGCTTCGTATAACAAACTTTAGCTTGGCAAACCAGTTTTGAGGAAATTATACAAAATAGATTTAAAAATGCATATTAAAATACTAAATTTTAAGTTAGAGAAACACCGACTAGGATTTGTCAGAGAAACATAGACTAGGATTCGAATCCTGACAAGTTTGATGGCTGCAAGAGCGCCTTCTTGTTTTTCGTCATATTAAAATGTATATAGATACAAGTCATTTCCATTTCCATTTCCAGATACAAGTCTTCCACGAAAACATCCCTGTCTTTAGGCAGATAGCCCTCGTGTGCTTTGCTGTATTCAAACAAAAATGTCAGAAAAACATACCAGTAATACAGAGCAGTTTTCCTAAATGAAAATACAAAACTATAGGGCACTGTTAAATTTATCCGTCTGAGGTGAGGTTTCCGTTTCTCTTCAAAATCATTCAGTAACACTTTTTTTAAAGCAAGTGTGAATCAGTATACACCGTATCTACGAAAATCCTATAGTTCAACATAGCAGTTCAATATATTACAATATAGCAAAAATAATTAAATTTTACGCAAATATTGTGCTAATACAATACTTCTCTTTCTTGTCATGGGTGGTATTTGGAATTGCATGAACTTCCCTTTCAGAACCGTCTTCTTTCTTTGCTTCTTTTTCGTCTTCATATGTAAGTGGTTGTCTGCAAATCTCACATCTCTTTGCCATCTGTGAATCTGTTTTAAGATTTTAAGAATATTTTGTTAAGGTTTTTAAAATATATACCTAACATATTACAGTAGCCACAATTTAGTTTCTTTCGTTTTGTTCCAACAAGAACTGTGCTTCTCACACATTTTCAGAATCATCTATTCTTTTAGTCCTTTTTACTTCCTTGTACGAAGTAAAAAGGAAGTATTGTAATCGCGAAAAGTTTCAGGCAGCATATTTCAACGAAAATATCCATTTTGACCGCTATCGAATGCAATTTTTAACGATTGTTTTGCGTGATATCTGTACTTAAAGACAGAATAAAATACTCTTTTCCTTCAAAAAAATTATAAAACTGCTTTGAAATGAATTCTGAAGAGAATTTTTCGAGGCGTCTGTACGAACGTATGTACGTACGTGCCAGCGTACGTACGTATCTCGCATAACTCAAAAACGAGTAGCCTCAGAACGTTGAAATTTTGTATATAGGACTGCTATAACATGCAGATGTGCACCTCGTATTTTGGTTGCAATCGGACGCAACAAACGTATATAAATATATTTATATATATATATCCACTATATTACCGGCTCAGTAATCTCAGTTTCTTTACTCTTATATGTTTGTAAATTGTACATTTTTTGCTTTAAAAATTTGATTGAATTATGTTGTTTTTATCTTCCGCTTAAGGATTTTATGCCTTTAGTAAATCTGTGTGCAATATGTTTAGAATTATCAGCAATTTTAAAGTTGTTTAATTGCCGCTAAGAATGTTTTTAATGGCGGTCATTGATGTTTACATTTGAAACAGGAGACTAGTGGATTTGTTGCCAATCTAGAGAAACTTAGCCTCGCAACAACAAAGATAACGCATTCATTTGTTATTGCCAATTAAATCATGCTTAATTCTTTCTGGAATTTTTTCGAGGAAATAAGCGTTTGAGATTTACTTCGTAATTTATAATATAGATATTTTGAGTTTTTATGTATTTTTGCCTTCTCGCGAAGTGAAAACTGAATTAATTGAATGATAAATACTCAATCGTCTGTGAAAAACTGTTTCTTTTTTGTTTTGTTTGCTTAATTTCTTTTATACATAGTTCTAGCTTTATTATAGTATTTGAATAGAACATGTGGCAACGATTAGATAATTCTTTAAATGATATACATTTTGTGTGCATTCTGAGTTATAATATGAATGAAATATAATACTGTTAAGTGAACCTACCGCCAGAGTGTCGCTATGGTAACAAAGTGAATTTTAAAGAATGCATTTATTCTATTGTGGTTTATGCGCTGTCGGCGAAGTAGGTTTAATTCAATCTAATAAGTTTAAATAAAATGCAAGAAAAAATGCGTATAATTTAATATTCATTACAAGGAAGTCATGTGGTGTACACATCAGATTTTTTCTCCTTATAATCGAGTTACAAAATCTCTACGTTAATGCAAAATTAACAACATGACAGCAATAAAACGCACTCATCTGGGATTAGATATAAAACCGAAATTCAGGTTTGGATAAATCCCAGAAGACGTTGCACAAAACCAGACGTTGTTTAGTTATCTTAAGCTTTGAAATGCCTTTTTATGATGTAATATTGATTACACCTTTTTAATATTGGATACGACTCTTTCTAGAAACAGGTTACAGTTAGGCTTTAATTGATTTAATGCAGAATGTTTATATGTTTATTGTTTGAAATGTAAATCTTCATGTTTGGAGGGAATTTTAGTTTAATTTTAACGGGTTGAAATGTTAGGTTTGTAACGTTACTACGAGAGTTTTTTTTTTTTTTTTTTTTTGTATGTTGTGTGCTATTGTTAGCATTTAGCACAACGAATTAACTCTAAAAAATGTGCTATTATGATTTACCAAAAGACTGAAAATAGAAAAAACAATTACTACTAAATGCAAATAAAGTTTCCGCCAAATCTTGAGAATGAGGGGCTTACAGTAATGTGGGGAAGGCAACGACCATAGTTGATAACACACATTTATTACTATTTACAAATATAGATTATTAGGATTACAATTAATGAAATGGTATACGAGCGATCGAGCGACGTCTGCTCCGCTCGCCAGCTAATCCTCGTCTTTCTCCGAAGGCGGGAAACACATGCTGACGCAATGCAATGCATACGTCACACAGTAGGGAGATTAGGGAATATCATGACATAACATTTCCCACATTCGGCCATCATGACCGGACAGGCGACCTCGCCTGAAGCAACATAAGTATATCATCAAATTAAAAAAAATTATTATAATATAGTAACATAGGTATGAAAAAAAAATAATCTGTAGATACAAAGCTGAGGATACTTACACAAATGGAGCAAAAAAATAGTTTAAACACACCACAGCAGTTAACTAAAAATAAAAAGAACATTAGTATGACAAAATGAATTAAAAAGTTGATATGAGGAAAAAAAATATTAGAAAGTTCTCAGGTGTCATCTGTCCAAACACAGGAGGACCTATAATGCTGACAGTTTAATAAAAATTAAGTGATACGTTCAATATTGTTGGACCAGGGTTTCATGTATTCAGCACAAGTAGATGTTTTGGATGGTCCGTCGAAAAATGCACACTTTTCCACATCATATGTGTCATTTTGTTTGAGCCTGGTGACTTTATAAGGTCCGAGAAATTTCTGTTTGAGTTTTAGACCAGGGCCAAACTGAGTTCGTTTGATAGCCACGAGGTCATGAAGTTGAAATTTTTGTGCCTGTTTTCGTCGCAAATTATAAGTACGGCGATTTTCGTCTTGCACTTTAGAGATTTGCTGTTTTGCGTCCTTACGGAGATCGTCACGTTGCTGAATGAATGCAGATTTGATCTCCTCGTCGATTAGAGCAGCGATGTTTATGTCGTTTTGCGATTTCATTTTAGTCCCAAAGAGAAGTTCAAAGGGAGTGGAATTGATGCTGCTACGTTGAAAAGTTGAATTAATAATTTGTTGCACGGCGGGAACATGGCGGTACCATTGCTCAGGGTTGGTTATGGAGAGTTTAGAAAGGACAGCAATAATAATGGAGTTCAAACGCTCAACTTGACCGTTCGATCGTGGGAGGCCAGCTGTAATAAGAACGTGCTTTATTCTCTGTGTGTCACAATAGTTTGCAAATGCAGTGGATTTGAATGCAGGGCCTCGATCAGAGATAATCCGTGAAGGATTTCCGAAGACTGATCTTTGAGATTCCAGCCGACTGATAACTTCATCTGCGTCTGTAGACTTTGTCGGATAAAGCCACACGAATTTAGTAAACGAGTCTTATAACTGCCAAAATATGTTTGTATTTCTTTGATGTGGTGGCAAGGGGACCTAGGTGGTCGATATGGTACGTGTGCAAGGGTGCGTCGTCGTCTCGTCTTGTTCTCAATGGGGTGCAGTAGTCCGTCTTGTTTGCCACGCTTTCGATTATTGAGGATGCATGGGATGCAGTTATGGATACACCGCTCAATTTTTTTTTTCTTTCAGATTTGGGATAAAATATTCGTTGTTTAAAAGTTCTTGAGTGCGGATTACGCGCGAAGTGGCCTCGTTCGTGAGCTGTTTTTAATGACATTTGCCTGCATATCTCTCAGGCACCACAAGTAAGTCAATGCCGTTGACGTTTTTGTACAGGAGATTGTTCTTAACGAGAAAGTTATCATACGAAGGCGTTGTTTGAAGGAGTGCTTTAATAGCCGTAATATGCTCGTCGGTTTCTTGTGCTTTGCGAAATTGGAGAAGGACACTGTCTTGGATAGTCATGCAACATGGACTGCGACTGAGGGCATCCACGTGAGCCATCTTTGAGCCGGTACGGTGCTCAATTTCGTAGTCAAAATCTTGGAGATATAAAACCCATCGGGCTATTCTCGAATTGAGTTCCTTTTTATTTAAAGTTTGCACAAAAGCGTTGCAGTCAGTGATAATTTTAAAATGTGAACCAAGGACGTAAATACGGAACTTTTTTAAAGCTTCAACAATTGCAAGGACTTCGAGTTCATAACTGGTATATTTACGCTCGTTGTCCGATGTTTTTTTTTGACATGTAGTAGACAGGGTGAAAGCTGTTATCGTTCATAGATTTTTGTAGTAGGACTGCCCCCAAGCCATCAATGGATGCGTCGGTATGAATTTCGATAGGACTCTTTTGATTAAAAATACTTAAAACTGGTTGTTGAGAAAGCAAATATTTTAATCTGTGAAATGCGGCTTTCTGATCAGCATGAAATTGAAAGGGGGTGTCCTTACGAAGGAGATCACTAAGGGGTTTTGCAATGCTAGAATATGAGGGGATGAATTTCCTAAAATATCCCGTGAGACCGAGAAAGCGTTGGACGTCTTTCGTACTCTTAGGTTCGGGGTAGTTAATTACAGATTTTGTTTTCGAAGGGGAAGGAAAAAGTTTACCACCTTCAACGATATGTCCAAGAAATTCGATTTTTTTTGTGAAGAAATTGACATTTACGAAAATTAACTTCTAGACCATATTCACTAGCAACTTTGAGTACTTGGTTGAGACGATGAATGGCCTCATTTTCATTTTTGGCGGGAATAACTACATCGTCCATGTAGGGTAAAACATAACCTTTGACAATTAAATCACGAAAAACATAATTTATAAAGCGCTGGAATACTGAAGGGCAATTTGAAAGACCAAATGGCATTCGAAGAAACTGGAATTGTCCGTTGTGAGTTACAAAAGCTGTATATGGTTTACTTTCGTCCGCTACTGGCACATGAAAAAAGCCGTTACGTAGGTCAAGAGTACTAAAAATTTGCGCGTCTTGAAGTTTATCCAAAATGTCATCAATAAGAGGAAGAGGAAAATGATCCTTAATTAAAAGTCGATTAAGTTTCCTATAATCGATGCAAACACGGGGTGTACCGTCTTTTTTACGCACCACGAGAACTTGACTGGCATATGGAGATGAACAAGGTTCAATAATTTTAAGTTTCAACCATTCATTTATTTGTTTGTCAACAATTTCCCGTTCAACAAAAGGAAGGCGTCTAGGAGGGT